GGAAGGCCTTCTCAGAAGGCGGCAGGGTTTCTCTGAGAAGCCTCACCCACTCCTTCCGAGAGGTGTTCTGTGTCCTCGGGGAAGACTCAGAGAGTTTCTCCATAAGGCCCAGGGACTTCCGAGCCTCCTGTCAGCACCCGGCTCGAGCCCTGGTCAGCACCCGTCTCGCTCGAAAGAGCCTCGGTTGCTGAGGCCTCTTGCTTCTGCTGCCACACCCGACGAGCGGGCGGAGGCGTCTGCACCCCGGGGCGCTCGCCGCCACACGGCCGGATGCGACTCGAAGTTCGGTCGGGAGGACGTCCAATGACGGTCAGGAGGTGAGGTCTGAGTGGTTCTGGTGGGGATTACCGGGCGAAGAACGGTATACAATTAACTTGTTCGCCGTCGGGGACGCCCGTCCAAGGGCGGCTGGGAAGCTTATACCCCTACGGTGGCACGTCAGGGTCTGATCTTCCCAGCCGCCCTGGGACAGGCGCCCCCGGAAACGGAACGGGTACAGTGGGGGCGCGCATCAAGAAACCATGTGTTTTTCGTCAGGGTATCCTGGGTTTCTTCGCTCCTCGCGCTGCGCGGTGACTTCCCGCAGGCGTTGAAGGAGCTGTTGCGTTCAAGGTGCTCCGGGTTCCCCCTCAGGTGCACCTCGCGCACGGGTTCTCAGGGTTGGGTTCCTTGCGAGGGTTTCTTGCGGTCGCGCCCGCACTGTACGGTCAAGCGGCTCGGACAAGGGCCGCGTTGGGCTCCCGAGGGGCTCTGGTTTTCGGGCCGCCGCTCCGAGCCGGGCCGGGGCAGCCCCTTCGTGCGCCGCGGGCGCGCCGTGGGCGGGCGGCGCCCCTGCGCTCCCCGGCCAGCGGCCCCTGTGGCAGCACGGCGGCTGCATGCCGTTCCTGAGGCGCTCGTCCAGGAGCTGGGCTCGTGAGGTTCCAACCTACTCTAGCCTTGATCACCAGAAAGAATTGCGAGCACCAGGAGTAGGCCGAAACTCGACGGTGTGATCACGTGTCGGGACCTGGGGTTCTCGCTCGACACCGTTTCGACACTTTTTTTCTGGGCGCTCGAAATTTTGGCTGGGATGTGGTCCTGCAGGACGGTGGGAGCAGCAGAAAGCTGGGTCCGCAGAGCGGTCTGGCCCAGGCGTCGGGCGGCCGCTCGCGCGGCCGGCCTGACCATGCCCCCTGCCCCTCCCCTCCGCCCCCTTCCCTGCAACGGCGCGCTCCCCGCCTGCGGCCCCCAGCTGCGGCAGCAGCGCGGCCATGGCTCGCCCGCCCGCGAGCACGCGCGCCGGCCTGGCGCGGCGCCTCGCGGAGCTCAACGAGCTGGCGAGCGCAGGCAGCGTCGGGCCTGCGCGGGCGGTCTTCGAGGACATCAAGGACGCCGCCGCGGTGGGCCGTGGTGCTCGCGCCGACGCCCTGCGCACCACGATCTGGAACACCGTGCTAAAGGCTCACGCGAAGGCGGGCGACGTCGCTGGCGCCGCCGCCTGGTACGAGGGCATGGTCCGCCAGAGCGTCACGATCAATACCCGGTCTCTGGGCAAGCTTATCCATTCTGCTGCAAAGGCGGGACGCTCTGAGGACGCGGAACGCTGGTTCAACGTCCTCGCCAGCACCCCAGGCGTCGAGGGGTACAGCGTGGCTTGCGGATCCGTCGTCGACGCGTGCGCAAAGGGGGACGAGCTCGCCAGAGCAGCCGAGTGGGTAGTCAGAGGCACGAGGATGGGCGTGGCACTGGACGCCTATATTGTTGGCGCTGTGATCCAAGGATTCGCGCGTCGCGGCGACGCAGGCAGCGCGGAGCTGTGGCTCGGCAAGATGGCGGAGGCGCAGCTGGAGCCGAACCTTGCCTGCCACAACCTCGTCATCACCAGCTGCGCAAGGCACGGTGACGCTGCGGAGGCCTCCACGTGGTTGCACCACCTGTCCGGCGTCGGCCTCGAGCCCAACTGCATCTCCTTCAGCGAGATGATGGCAGCTTGCGCCCGCAGCTCCGACTGGGCCGGGGCCCTCGCGTGGCTGGCGGAGTCCAGGCAGAGGGGCGTCGCGCCCAGCGCCGCGATGTACGGCAGAGCCCTCGAGGCGTGCGCCAAGGGCGCGGCCGTCGAGCGGGGAGAGCTGATGTTCGAGGAGATGCAGGAGTCCGCCCTCCAGCCAGACGCCGCTTGCTACGCCGCCCTCATCGACGGCCGCGCCCGCCGCGGGGACGCGGAGGGCGCTGGCCGCTGGCTGCGGGGGATGTCCTTGGCAGGGCAGACCCCGGACGTGGCGTGCCACAACTCTGTGATGAACGCCCACGCCCGGAGTGGCGACCTGGAGGGCATCGCCCGGGCCTTCCAGGAGCTGGCCGCGTCTGGGCTCGCTCCAGACGTCTTCTCCTACAACACCGCCATCGGCAGCTGCGCGCGCGCCAGCGACATGGCCCAGGCGGACCGCTGGCTCCGGAGCATGCGCGCCGCGGCCCTGCAGCCGGACGCCATCTCGTTCACGGCCGCCATTGGGGGCGCGGCGAGGTCCGGCGACACCGCCCGGGTCGGTGCCCTCCTCGCCGAGATGCAGGAGACCGGCGTGGAGGCCGACGCCATCTGCTTCAACGCCGCCGTGGACGGCTTCTGCAAGAGCGGCCGGCCTGCCGAGGCTGCGGGCCTGCTGGAGGCGGCGAGGAGCGCCAGGGTCTCGCCAGACGAGCGCGCGTACAACAGCATCATCGACTGCTATGCCAAGGGCGGGGCGATCCCAGAGGCCTCCAGGTGGCTGGACGCGCTGCGGGGGGCATCCCTGAGGCCGTCCGCGTCCACCTACAACTCCGTGGTCAACGGGTGCGGGCAGGCCGGGCTGCCCGAGGAGGCGAAGAGGTGGTTCGGCGCGATGCGCGCCGAGGGGGTGCAGCCGGACACCATCTCGTTCAACGCGCTCATGAAGGCGCTCTGCCGAGGAGGCGACCTCGAGGCGGCCGCCTCGCAGCTGGGCGAGATGCGCCGGGCGGCGTGCAGGCCTGACGAGGTGTCCTACACGACCCTCGTCCAGGGCTGCGCGAGGAGGGGCGACGCTGCCGGCGCCGAGCGCCTCTTCGGCCTCATGACCGCCGACCGCCTCACCGCGGACGCCGTCGCCTACACCTCCCTGGTGGACGCCTACGCCCGCGCCGCGGACGCAGACAGCGCCTGCGAGGTGCTGCAGAGGATGGCGGCGTCGCGCGTGCGCCCCACCGTCGTGACCTGGACCGCCGCCATCTCTGCGTGCGCCCGGGCGCGGCCCCGGCGGCACCGCGAGGCCGAGGACCTGCTGCACCGGATGCTGCGCTCGCGCGCCGTGCCGAACAGCGTGACGTGCGCCGTGCTGGACAGGGCGCTGGGCCGCGCCCGGCGGGAGGAGCTCTGCAGAGCTCCAAGCGCGCGGCCAGGGGGAACATGAGAGAGAGAGAGAGAGAGCCTTGGCATCGCTCGGACGTGTGCGTTGCTTCCTCGGCGAGGGCCACCATCGAGGAGCATCCTGGATCACCTGGCACAAAGAGTGCACGGGGAGTGCACGTCCGAGCGATGGCATGGCAAGGAGAGGGCCTCTGGGCGCCTGGCGGCCGCCAGCCGGGGTCATGCCCTCACTGCTGCGGTCGCCCCGGAGGTTCAAAGGTTAGTTCCGAGGCTGCCGAACGTCTGCTTGCCCTTCTGGGTCCTCGGGGGAGCGACGCAACACAACGGGGTTGTCTGCGCAGACACTGGCGCATGAGCTGCCCACGCAAGGTCGTGCGCAAGCGCCCTCGTCTCCAATGTAGCTGGCCGCGCCGGCGGCCCGCGTACGCCGCCGCGTAAGGTCGCTATGCTATGTTGCGTAAGTTCCCTCTTTTTTCTGTCGCTCAGGAGGCTTCTTCTCGCCCCGGCTAGAGCTCCTGTTTGAAATCTTGGTCGAGACGAACCCCGAACGATTTCTGGGAACCGATTTTTCAATGTCGGCATTGCCCACAAGGGTCACGAGCAAAAGTTGTCCAGTGGTAATTCGCCGTTTCTGGCCTAGCAGGACCAGGATTGGGAACAAGAGCAAGGCGGAACTCCGATCGTCAGGATTCCCTCCAGACCCCGACCCCTGAGCCCCTGAGCCAATCTGCTGGCACTCCCATGGCTTCCCTCCGGGTCACTGGGCTCGCAGCGGCGAGGGCTTGTCCACTGCCCTTGATTCCTTGTCTTTCGCCCGTCCATCACGTAACCTGCCAGCGCGATTTTGCATCTGGCGCGTCTCCCGCCGCGCAGCTTCTCGTTCGCTCGGCCTGTACCTGCTCGCCCCGCACCGCCAACTACGACCCGAGCAAACGGGCCCGTAATCAGGGCGGAAAGAGAGGCGCCCAGGCTCAAGACCAGGAGAAACCTGATGACGTTCTGCACCGGCTGGCCGATCAGGCTGGCGGGTCCTGGCCCCTTCCCCACAGATGAGATGGAACAGCCAAACAAGGCTCGCGCGCTGGTTCATGTGTGCCTGGTCGCTTTTCGTCCGGAAGGACCACCGCCTCCGCGCGGAGCGCGGCAGAGTCTGGATGTGGTGTCGGGGGTCCCGAAGGGCGCACCGTGCGGCCAGCCCTGCAAACGACCGTGCATGTTGGGAGGCGTCTCCTGCTGCCACACGTGTGATCTGGCGGGCCGGTTGATCAGGTCGCCTCTCCATCCCTGCCCTCCTCGCCCTCCTCGCGCCGACACGGGGTGGGGCGCCCTGCCTACCGGGGCCGCGCGGGTGGCTCCCGACAGGCCACCTGCGCCTGCGAGTTGGTCCGAGCTGATTCTGTCAGCGCGCAGAGCTTGACGACTTTTCGAGGTCGATTCCTGGAAGTCCGATGCGACTGTCGTCTTGTCGTACCTTGTCTTGTCTGGTCCTGTCCTCTCTTGTCTCGTCTCATCTCGTCTTGTCTTGCCTTGTCTTGTCTTGTCCCGTCTTGTCTTGTCTCGGCTTGTCTCGTCTTGTCCTGTCTTGTCTTGTCTCGCGTCCTGTCTTGTTGTGTCTTGTCCTGCTGTCGCTTGCGCCGAGGTCCCTCCACCCCAACCTGGACGCGCTCCTTGCGCTGTGGCCCGCCGACAAGGAGTCCCCGCCGCCGCGCTCGCCCGGCGCGTGCAGGGACTCACCGCAGCTTCTGCAGGTGCGAGGGGGAGGCGGAGCTGGGCGCCCTACGGTCGGGAAAGCATGCCCAAAGGGCCTTGCCCTCGAAGATCGAAGGAGTTCTCATCTCTTCCGCCGCGGAAGGCGGCGGAAGGTCGGCGGAAGTAAAGCGAGGCCGCCTCCGCCGGCGGAAGCTGTCGGAAGTAAAAAACGCGCCCCAAAGAGATGAACACGGTTTTGGGTTCAGGGTTTCTGAAATCGCCCAGAGGAAGAGCCCCAGTGATGCTCACCGCCTCTCCGCTATGATTTTCGCGGGGGTGGGGGCGTCTGAGAGGTGGCGGCGCTGGCGCCACGCTGCATGACCCGACACGCTTGTAAGAGGGACGGTCTTCCCGAACGTCCTCCAGGGAGCGGCAGGGGAGGTACTGCTGGACAGGACCGGGCGTTGGTCAGGCAGCCCTCGCCCCGCATGCTATGCTTAAGTCGGGCCTGTCCCTCTACAGGGGGGACATTCGAAAATACGAAAAAACTAGTCCAGGGATTATTTTTTTTGTATTGTTTGACCACTTTGGAGAATATGTTTTGAGTATTGTTTTCCCGTCGAAAATCCCCCTGCAGGGGGACACGCCCGACTTATCGCTATGCACCAACTTGCAGAGAGACTGCTCTGCTGCAGGCTGCTCGAGCGGCAGGCTCCCGAAGTGCCTCCAGAGGGACCAGGGAAGCGTCGGGTGCCGCGAGGCCCTCCCTGTGGAAGCGGGGGCCCTGGCCCAAGGCCAGCGGGCCACCATCTGAGGCGTCGAGCCTGCGGGAGAGGTGGCCCAGGCCGTCCTGTCGGGGGGCGCGGAGGGTGCACCGCGCTGCGCGCGTCGCGGCCGGGGCCGGGGCCTCCTCCTCCTCCTCCTCCTCCTCCTCCTCCTCCTCCTCCTCCTCCTCCTCCTCCTCCTCCTCCTCCGCCTCCTCGCGCATACGGGCGGGCGGCTCGAGGGCGCGGGGGGGCGAAGCGGACCGCGCGGCGCGGGGGCGTTCGGCGCGATGGGCGCAGCGTGGCGACCGGGTTGGCGCTGCTCGCTCCGCCCGGCCGAGCGGGCGCCCTGCCGCAGGGAGGCGGCGAGGCCGAGCGGGCGCCGCGAGGTGCCCTTTCCCGTCGGCGAGGGAGCCCGATGCCCGTGCTTCCAGATTGAGGGCAGCGGGTTGGAGGAGGAAGCGGCATTGCGTAGCTAGGGGGCCACAGGCGAACCCTACCCCTACCGCCCACGATTTCTGGTGGGGAGGGTGGGGTTCACTTCGTTCGGGAGCTCCCGAACGAAGTGATCCCCACCCTCCCCCTCAGAAATCGTGGGCGCGCACCTGAATTTTCGTTAAGGCAATGTGGGCGGGTCGCAGGGTGGGCCGCGGGTGGTTCGCGGGCCGGGTTGCGGGTGGGTCGCGGGTGGGTCGCGGATGGGTGGCGGGTCGGGTCGGGTCGGGTCGCGGGGGGGTCGCGGGGGCGGGTCGCGGGGTCGCGGGGGCGGGTCGCGGGTTGGGTCGCGGGTGGGGAGGGGGTGGGGTCGCGGGGTGGGTCGCGGGGTCGGTCGCGGGTTGGGTCGCGGGGTGGGTCGCGGGGTGGGTCGCGGGGTGGGTCGCGGGGTGGGTCGCGGGTGGGTCGCGGGGTGGGTCGCGGGTGGGTCGCGGGTGGGTCGTGGGTGGGTCGCGGGTGGGTCGCGGGTGGGTCGTGGGGTGGGTCGTGGGGTGGGTCGCGGGTGGGTCGCGGGGCGGGGCGCGGTTGGGTCGCGTGCCGTTCCGCCGGGGGGGCGACGCCAAACAACAACAAATAAACAAATGTTAAACAAGTAAGCAAGCAAGCAAGCAAACCAACGTTCAAACAAACAGACAGACAGACAGACAGACATATAAGCAACAACAACAACAACAACAGCAACAATCATTATAAGACTGTTCGCCCTTACTAGGAGGCGAGACTGTCCTGGGAGTTCCCGACACCGTTGACACAGACCCCGCCACAGGCTTCACATCAAGCTCAGGAATCATTATGGGCGCGAATGCGGAGACCTACGCCGGCGGTGAAGATCTTGCCCGACGCATTCGGACAGGCGGAGGATCACCGGCAGCGATCTCAGCGGCCAAGCTTTTCAAATGTGAGCTATGTGATTCTCAGCAGCGACCACCAGCACATTCTATTGCAAGCCTACCGAAGTAGATGCGATTCAATCAGTGTCTGGGCATGGACATTACATATGTACCAGGTTTGGGTGGGATTATTCATGCTTTCTTGGTTAGGCTTGACTTTGCTACCGACTTCAGAGCACTTCAGTGGATGGTCAGCGGTGGAGATCGGAATTTCCCAAACCCTCGGTGCCTGCACTCTTCGTCTTCGATCGAACCCCTTTTGGGGGGTTATACCTTTCAACTTTCTTCCCTGCAGGCCGGGCCCCGGCAAGCGGCGGGGCGGCCGCGGACCGTCGGCCTGGCCAGCGGCAGCGCTGATCGGCGGGGCGCCCACGGACCGTCGACCCGACCCACGGACAGGGGATCGACCGCGACAACGACGACAACGACACCGACGTCGACGACGACGGCGACGACGAGCGAAAGCGAGCGCGAGAGAGAACGACGGCAGGGCCACGAAGGACACGAAGTAGGCCACGAAGGGCGACAGCGGGGACACGAAGGGAATGCGTATGGGGCCACGAAGAGTGCGAACGAGCGGGGTCCACGAAGGGCAGATAATACGGGGACGCAGAAGGCAACGATGGGGCCACTGAGGGTAGCAACTGGGCCACGTAGGACAGTGAAGGGGCCAAAAACGGCGACAGCGGGGCCACGAAGGGCATGCACATGGGGCCACAACGGGCGCGACTCCTGGGTGCCTGGGTGTCGTGAGCGCGGCGCTTGCGCAAATTCCAAGAAATTCCACCGGAGGCCGCTATTCCTCAGTAAATTGCAAGCAAGTCTCGAGCGAGAGCGCGACTCCAGAGCGCCGGGAGAGCGATTCCTGAATAAATTGTAAGGAAGTCCCATGCGAGAGCGCGATTCCTGAATAAAATGCGAGGAAATCTCGGGCGGGAGCGTGGGTCCTGGCTAAATTGTGAGGAAGTCTCAGGCGGGAGCCGTTGTTGTTGTAACCCGGGGGCCGGGGGGACAGTTTCAGCATCAAGGCTTCCCCTGTCAAAAAACAGGGTGCGAGCGTCGAGGGTCACACTTTGATTGAGAAAAAAAGTATGCACCAGTGAGGGGGGATCAACAATAAGTATTCTTCAGAAATGAGAGTTCAACAACGACGACAACAACGACGACGACAACAACAACAATAATCCGACTTAAGCCACCCGTTCGGCCCCCTTACTCGGACCCATACGGCTAGCCTTCCCTCTTTTTCCCCTTTCTGGGCTTCCTGCAAGGCCCTCGTCGCCACCGGTGGATTCGCCTCCAAATCCTGGTATAAGTATTTTTCGGTTTCTCCGACTGGTGGCTCGGAAGCACACCACCCAGTGCCTAATTACAGCCTCGGTTGGCATTCTATCGCGTCATTCACTCCGCCGGTCCATACTGTAACACCGTTGGCATTTTCTTGCGTGCCCACGGGGTTATCTTCGTGGGCCTCGTTGGGCCTCTGGGAGGCATGTCGGAAGCTATCTTGAACCATCTTCAGCTACCCTGAGCCGCCTTAGATGCCATTTGGGCGCATCGGTGGCCCTCTTGGAACCATCGCGAGCGAAAAAGTACTTCCTGACAGCGCCCTCAACCGAAACACTTCAGGGAAGGGAATCGGGCTTTGGAAGGGGAGAGAAAGAACTCGTTAGACCACCTACGCCCAAAGAGCTGGTGGGATTGGGTTCCCCCTCTTGGAGGCCTCCAGAGCTTTCTTGGCGGGCCTCTTGGGGCGTTTTGGGAACCTCTTGGGCCGTTTGGGGGCCCTTTGGGGAGCCTCTTGGGCTGTTTTGGGGCGATATTGGGTGCCTCTTTGGCCGTCTTGCAGCCTCGCAGAGGAGAAAAAGCGAGAACACTGAACTCAAAACCGAACGGGAAATCGGAAATCCATGAATTTGATTTCTCGGGGCCTTGGGAACCCACTGGGAGCGCTCTTGGGGCGTGTTGGAATCGTCTTGGACCATGAAGAATCCACCTGTGACGTATTGGAACGCTCTGGACCGTGTCGGACCCTTTTGGTCTCTCATGCAGGCCCCGTGGGGCGCTCCTGGAGCGCCTCTTGGGCGTCGTAAGGTCGCGCCCAGACCGAAAACCATTTCTGAGTCGAGTCCGGCACCCATCTGGAGACACCAGGAGCCGCCCCGTGCGCGAGATCTAGCAATCGAAGGTGAGCGAGTGAGACCGCCGTGAAACGCAAAGCCCCCCAGTTTCAGTTTCGTGTTCGTGTCGTGCGTGCGGGCGAGGAGAAGCTGCGTAGGCGGACGAGATCGATATCACCCGAAGGGTGGTCGCGTAGGTGCACAAACATTCGAAGCCTCATACCGGAGATCTTAGCGCGCCCTTTGCCCATTGGGCAGGCGAATTTTCAAGAGCTCCATGAGGCGTTTTTCCTCCGCCGTCCATGCTTCACGTTTGGTGCGGCTGCGAAGCGTTCTAAGAACCTGCACAGCAGAAAGCGGACGAAGGGCAAGCGGCATTGTAATTTCCGCAAACGTATGTTACAACACTCCAATTGATAACGGAAAGAGTTCGGGCAGGTGGGCCACGGGCCGATTTCGGACCTTCCGGTGTTTTCAAGGTCATCTGAGCCTACAGCACGGTGGTGGATTCGAATGCCATCAGAGAGAGCGACAGAGAGAGAGAGAGAGGGAGAACGTGATAGAGGGAGGGAGGGCGAAAGATGGATGGCGGGCTCTATCTTGCACTGCTCGCAGGAGGCGCTCAATGCTTGGGCGGAGGACCAGTTTCGGCAGCTCCCTTCCCGGGCCGGCTCCGACGCCGGCAGCAGCGCCGCGGACAGGCCGCCTCGGTTGGGCGAGGGCAGACAGAGGTGAGCTTAAGATTGCGGAGGTGATGGTGATGGTGATGATGGTGATGATGACGACTGTGATGATGATGGTGAAGATGAAGATGATGATGTCGACGACGACGATGATGCTGATGATGATGCTGATGATGATGATCCTGAACATGATCATGATCATGATGATACTGATGACTGATGATGATGATGATCGGTCTATGATGGTCGTGCTTCCGGTGCTGATCCGATGGTGCTGTTTGTCCATGTGGTGATGGGGTGACCGGGCTACGTCAGGACACGTCCCTTGAGGCTTCCTGACCCCATCATGCAATCCGAGCCCGCGGAGTCCGGCTTTCGCAGCGAGTGCCAACGCGCCTCGAGGGAGCGGTTCTGCGCACCTCTCTGAAGTCCCAGCTCACCGAATCCAGCAACATGCAGCCACGTCTCCGGAATGAAAGCGGAGCGAGGCCCTAAGCTAAATCAGACCTCCCTTCGTCTCCGAAAGGCTCCTCTGCGTTTGGATCTGTATCCTCGCCGACCCTATCTCGGTCATCCTTTCTTGCGCCTGGCTCTGGACGGTGTTTTCGTGTCCACATGGACCTTTGTCTGCGTCTCAGTCTAGTAATGTGTATGCCATGTTTTTTTAATGTATTGACGTGTGCCTCCTGCCCTGTCTGGACCCTTGTCTCTGCCTCTGCCTCTCTATTCCTGTCGTTTATGTCTGTTCCCTCTCTCTCTCTATCTTTCCCTCTCGCTTTGTACAGGTGTATGCACATGTGCGCATGCAAGTATACATACGTCACAACAATATACATATACACGCATATATGAGTGAGGGCGTCGAACGGTCATTCGCTGCCCCTGGGCGCGTGGCTGAAGTGAGGTTCTGCGGTGAGAATGATTGTTGTTATTGTTGTTGTTGCTGCTGCTTTTTGTTGCTGTTCCTGTTGTGATTGTTGTTGTTGTTGTTTCTGTTGATGTCGAGTTCTCATTTCTCAAGAATACATATGGTTGATCTCCCCATCCAGGGCACATTGTGCTTCTTCGTTTTAAGTGCCCTTTCCGGGGCTTGCACCCTTTTTTATCAGGGAAAGTTAGGGGTCACCAAATTGGGCCCCTAGCCTCCGAGTTACAGCAACAACGGTTCCCGCCAGATACTTCCTCATCATTTCTTGCAACATCGCGCTCTCGCGCGGGACTTCCTCACACTTTACGCAGGAATTGCGCTCCCGCGTGGGACTTCCTCGCACTTGATTCAAACGCCGCGCCCTCGACACTTAGGAATCACGCTCTCGCTGCTGTTTTGTTGTCACGTGTTACTTAGGAATCGCGCTATCGCTTGAGACTTCCTCGCTGCTCATGCAGTATCCACGCTTCAGCACCACGCCATCTCGACCTGGCCGCTTGGGCCTGACTTCCCGACCCGCCCGTTAGTGTCTGCCAGCCTTGTCAGCCCGTTTGGTTCTGCCACGTATTTTCTGCTCCTAGCCCCCATCCTGTTAATTCCGTCATCTATCCTTCTCCCTCCCCCGTCCATACGTCCGCTCTTCTACAGCTTCAGAGGCTGTGCCAGTAACACGCGGCAGGTAAAGAAAATAGATTCCCAGAGCGTGCTTCTTCAGAGCCTCGCAGACTGCCAATTCCTCGCCGCCCTCTCACTCCTATCCGCAACTGCGGTGTGCTACGTATGATTACAAGCATCCGTGGAGATATGTGAATCACCATCTGTCCATGTGCCTTCGATCGCTCTCAATATATAGCACGTGGTTCTCTACATATTCTCTCCCTCTCTGTCTGTCTATCTCTTCCTTTCCCTCTCTCCCTCTCTTCTTCTTATTGTTATCCTTATTCGTCAGAGTGGTGGGGGCCGCACGGTCATTCATTGTCCCTGGGTGCGTGGCTGAAGTGAGAATCCGTGGTGAGGATTATGCTTGTTGCGTTGTTGTTGTTGCTGTTGCTGCTGCTGTTGTTGTTGTTGCTGTTGTTGTTGTTGTTGTTGTTGTTGTTGTTGTTGTTGTTGTTGTTGTTGTTGTTGTTTGTTGACGTCGTCCCCCCCGCGACCCACCCCGTGACCCACCCCGCGACCCACCCCGCGACCCAACCCGCGACCCAACCCGCGACCCACCCGCGACCCAGCTTGCGACCCACCCGACACCCACCCGCGACCCACCCCGCGACCCACACGGGACCTACCCCGCGACTCATCCGCGACCCACCCGCGACCCACTTGCGACCCACCCGCGACCAACCCCGCGATTTATCCGCGACCCACCCGCGATCCACCCGCGACCGATCCACATTGGTTCGAAGAAACGATCGGCGCTTGCGGCGGGCTCGTTGTATAATATGAAACTTTGGCGCCTGCGGCCGGCTCCTCCAGAGTCTCGCAGACTGCCGACGTCCCCACCGCCCCCTCTTATCCGCATCTGCGGGGCGATACGTATCATTGTTTTTTTCCTCCCTCTCTCTCTCTCTCTCTCCGTCGCCTCTGTCTCCGAATGTCTCTACGTGCGCAAGCCTAGATTGTCCCGTGCATGCAGGCGCGACCCCCGTTCCATGCCAGGGCGGACATTGACATGTGAGCGGTGCTGCCCTGGCCGAGGAAAGCAAGCATTGGCGAAGGGACGGGAGATGACGGGGTGAGAGGGCGGACCGGGCGCCTCTTTTCCCTCTCGCCTGGACTTGCCTTGTGCCCCCATCTCCCGGCAGTCAGAAGCCGCATAGTAAGGATGAGCGACTTTCCAGGGTCACGGTAGGTTCGTGTCGTGTCGACCGGCGGCGACCCCGCCAGCGGCGTTCAATTTTAAACGCCGCAGGCGACCCAGAATCGTTCGATGTGGAACGATCTGGACGTCTCGGAAACGGCCGATCGTTCAAGGCTGAACGATCCCCGCGGTGTCAGGGACCAACGCCGGGGTCGACACCACGCGAACCTGCCGCACCCTTGCATCCTCCCCCTTTCGGCCCAGCTTTTGCCGCTTTTCGCCGGCCGCACCCCGCTCGACCAGCGTCGATGTGGCCCTCCAAGGCCCCCTGCATCCTCATCGTGCGTTCTTGTTATAGGGTCGCCCTCGTCGTCGTCGTCGTCGCTGCTGAGTCGAAAGCACGAATTTCTCCCGCCATATATCGCTCAAAAAATCAGCGATGATCCTCCTCCTCCTCCTCCTCCTCCTCCTCCTTCCCTGACTGTGGTGTCCCCCCCCCCGTCCTGCTTGTGCTGCTGCTGCCGTCGCCTTCGCCCTTTTCTTGCGACCTCCTGCGGAGGTCTCTTCAGGCGTTTTTCCGCCCTGCTGCTCGCTGCTGCGCGGTGCTTCACCCCAAGACGCCGCGTCCAGCCCTCCTCCGCCTCCTCCCCCTCCTCCTCCTCCTTCTCCTCCTCCACCCTCGCACACTCTTCCTGGCACCAGGCCCAACAGCAAGGAGGAGAGCCTGTACCTGCAGTCGCTCACCCCGTCCCTCACTGGCAGCCCGCCCCAGACAGCTGGCCGGGAACGCCCGTCGTCGTTTTCGTCGTCGTCGTCGTCGTCGTCGTCGTCGTCGTCCCCTCGTGCCGCTCCTGCTCGCTCGGACAGGGCGCGAAGATCACCGCAGGCCGCGCCCTCGCTCGGCGCGGGTGCGCGACTTCTGGGCGCACCGCGCGGCCTGTCTCCCGAGCTCTTTCCTCGGGGAGCCTCAGGGAGGGGGGGAGGGGGGGCATAGGGGAGCAAACAATGGCATAAGCACAACAACTCGGAGGTCCGCGCGGATTTCTCGGATCGGCGCTTGGGCCACCTGGCGGCGCCTCCGGCGCCGCCCCTTTGCGAGCTCCGCGCGCCAGGGAGCGGGTCCAGCGGCGATCCGAGAAATCCGCGCGTTCCCCTAGGGCAGGCTCCAGGGGTCACGGAGCGCGTTCCACTGCTCGCGGAGCGCCTGCTCATTTTCGCAAGCGTCCGAAAAATGCACACGTTTGCATCGATGTAGTGTATCGTGCATCCCTCGCCGCGCCGGGTGCAGGCCATTTGCGAGCTTGCTTTGCGAGTCGTGGAGCGCGCTTGTCTACAGGAGGCAATGCATCGGCCCTCCAAAATCGCCCACTGCTCGCCGCGGGGGGCTGCGCCCTCCGTCGTCCTCCGCGGCCACCTCTGGGGCGCGCCAAGGCTCGGGCCGGAGGCCGCCCATGGCCGCGCCGCGCCTGTGGAGCTGGGCAGCTGGTCAGTATCGTTGGACCGACCCCCCTCCTCATCCTCATCCCCATCCCAATCCAGACCCCCACCATCCCACCGCCCCGGTTGGGGATGTACTCCCTCGAAGCCCGAAGGGAACGGCCTACATCCCCACCTAGGGGGTACATCGGTGAGTGGGCCCAGGCCACGCTCGTGGGGATCGGGGTCGGTCCAACGGTGCCCATAGGTGAGCCAGGGGCGAGCTCAGCTCGTCCAGCCGCCTGAACGGCCGCACCGCTCTCGCTGGTGGCCTCCGTGCCAAGACCCCCTCGGGCCATGCAGAAATCACGACGGGTTGTTCGCTATCTTCGGCACCTTTGGGCCCTTACGGGGCCCTGGGAGCGTCCAAACATGTTTCGGAATGAGGAGCTGGTCCACGGGAAGAACTCCAGACCCCCAGGGGTCGACGTCCTGCAAAAATCATGAAGTCGGGGGTCTGGGGAGGAGGCAGAGGAGGGGCGGAGGGGGGGCGGACGGGGGGGGCGGGAGGAGGGAGAAGGGGAAGAGCAGGAGAGGGGCGAGGGGAAGGAGGCAGGGGAGGAGGGGTGGCGAGGGGGACAGGGGGGGACGAGGGGGGACGGGAATGGGTCGAGACCTCCAGGGGTCGACGTCATGAAAAAGTCATGGCGTCGGGGGTCTGGGTGGGAGACCGGCACTCCCTCGGAGCGCCCGGTGTTCCAATTCGGTTTTGCTCTGGAGTCGCACCTGAGTTGTTGTGAAGGTCTTACGGCCGGTGCCGCCGACTCAGAAGGACGACGACGACGACGACGACGACGACGACCACCACGACGACAACGACAGCGACGAGCTGATGACCCTGCCACAGGCTGGGGACATGGGGCGGGCGGTGGAGCTGAGTTAGCTGTGACTCGCAAGCTGCTGCCCCCTTCACCCGAAGTGGTTACTGCTTCTTCGAGCCTCATGTCGGCTTGGGCAGGCCTCCCTTGTGATGGAGTCGCCCCGTTGTCGGCCTCACATCGGCTTGTACTCCACTCCCTGTAGCTCTTTCAGGCGCGCCAGACACATCTAGCAGACGTGGCTCTTGGAACCCTATTGAATGTCCTTGCAGAGATGGGAGCGCTCCCCACATGCCCAGCCGCCTTTTACAAACGGGTTCCTCTCCTGCGTCCCGTGACCTCCATTTCCTTCCTCTGGCCCCTGAGAAGGAAGGAGCGCGCCCGCTTTCGGGTGGACAGGCAACATCTGAATCGTTGCCTCCCTGAGCCTCGTCAGCTCTTTCGGCCTCCCTCTCCTCATCCTCGGCTTCCTCCAGGACATGGGCGCGTGGAGTAAACCAGCGGCGCCCCTGGGAAGCACCCAGTGCTCGACCCCTGCTGGCCCAACGATTGCCCTCACCTTGAGCGTCAAAGCCACGATGGGCGCTTGCGACTTCCGTGCTGTCCAGGGTGATTGCGCCAGGAAGCCCAGACCCCGACGTCGTGATTTTTTCATGACGTCGATCCCCAGAGGTCTCGACCCATTCACGGGGACCCGTTTTTCATACCGAGTCGTTTTTGGACGGCCCCGGGGCCCCGCAGGGGCCCCGAAGAGGCCGAACATAGCAAGAAGCCTCCCGTCGTGAGTTTCCTATGGTTCGAGGGGGTTTGGGGGACTGGCCCACCAGCGGGGTGATAAGGCGCCCCAGCGACGTCACTTCAAGCCCTCCCTCCTCCTCCGTCCTCCTACCTCCTTTTCCCTCCATCTCCCTCCTCCTCCCTTCTCCTCCTCCTCCTCCTCCTCATCCTCCTCATCTTCCTCTTCCTCCTTCTCCTCCTCCTCCTCCTCCTTCTCCTCCTCCTCCTCCTCCTCCTCCTCATCCTCTTTCTCCCTCTTCCTCCTTCTTCTCTCTCCTCCTCCTCCCTCCTTCTCCCTCCTCCTCCTCTCCTCCTCCCCTCCTCCTCCTCCTCCTCCTCCTCCTCCTCCTCCTCCTCCTCCTCGACTCCGTTCCTTCTTTTCCAGTCCACGGGGGCGGTCCGCCCACGGCGCCGGTGGGCTAGCGCGCGGCGATCGCCGCCGCATGCGGGCAGGCAAGAACATCCAGGCATCGCCAGATTGCGAAGTCGCCAGCCTGCCTGCAGCACACAGTGCACGAGCTCTATGGGAGAGGCCACGCACCATCTCACCCAGGTCGGGACCCCCCTCCTCCTCCTCATCCTCCTCCTCCTCCTCGTCCTCCTCCTCCTTCACTCCTACCTCCCCTCCCTCCATCCTCCTCCTCCTCCTCCTCCTCCTCCTCCTCCTCCTCCTCCTCCTCCTCCTCTACCTCCTCCACCACTACCTCCTCCTTTGTCGGGGGCACCTCCTCCTCTCGACCTCCTCCTCCCCCTCAAGATGGCGGCCTCGCCCGCGCCGCCCCCCTCGCGGAGCTCCTCCGCAGGGCCCCCGCCCTCCACTGCAGGGCCCATTCCGATCCGATCCGATCCCGATGTTCTGGCGATCCGATGCGGCCCGATGTCTGCAAGGCGTCGAGGCGCACTTCGCAGACCCCCTCGAGAGGTGACAAAAAACACGGCAGGAGGTGTTTCACTGTTTGCGGCCCCCGGGCCCCTTACCAGGCCTCAGGAGCGGGAAACAACGAATCGGAATGAGAAACCTGTCCTGGAGAATGCATCCAGACCTCTGGGGATCGACGTTCTGAAAATATCATGACGTCGGGGGTCTGGGCGATGATGTGCACCTTTACGCCTCCGATCAGATTCGACTTCGGCTCTGTGCCAGTGCAGCCCGATCTGAGGCATGTTCCGATCCGATCCAATGTCTCGAGTCGATCTTGGCTGATCCCCCGCTGGCAGCGGCCACGCAGGACCGGTCGAGCCGCGCCTACGCGCGCCAGCGGAGCGTGCAGGAGGAGCCCGGTCCGGCAGAGGCGCGGGGCAGGGGATATCGTCTCCGTCGTGATCGTCGTGGCCATTGCCGTCGCCGTCGTGGTGGTGGTGGTGGTGATGGTCGTCGTCGTCGTCGTCGTCATAGTAGTAGTAGTAGCCGCGGCCGCCACTGTCGCCGCCCCGCTTCAGCTGCGCCGCTAGACACTCAGGAAATCCTGGAGCGCATCCTGAGCCACTCTCTGAACATGACATCATTCTTGCCCTGATACCGTCCGTTCGGGAGGCTGATCTTCCTGGGCCTCGGCAAGCGCGGATCGCGGGATACGGGTATATTCAGGCCCTCTGGGGTCATCTCGAGATCTTGGCGTTGCACCTTTTTTCGCAACGGGCGTTCTCTCGCGGGGCTTCGAGTCCCCGACCCCCACAGATCGGTCTGGCACGAGAAATGACGCAGGAAGATGGCGTCTAGGGCTCTGGGCGTGATTTGTTTGAGATGTTGCATTTGTGGCGGGGTCTTGTCGGTGCCGATCTTGATCGTGGTCCATGTCGGCCGTCGCCGAATTGCGAGGAGGATCCACGAAATCCGTTGACCAAGGTCGACGGCGACCAAGATCGGCACGACTTTTCCGTGTTCAGTTCAGTCTTGGAGAATGTTGCCGCTTTTCTCCCCCGCCAGGATCTATTATTCACCGCCTCCTGGGGCCAGAGCATATATTCATACCCACCCTCCCTGGGCTTCCAGGACATCGCTTCCCCGGGCGGCGGATATGTCGGAGGCACCGACCATACACCTACACAGGTCCAGGCCAGGCCGATCTTGGGCCCAGCCTCGGTCCTGCCCAAGCCAGGTGGGCGCGCACCTCGACCCTGGACCCAGGAGGAGCCAGGCCAGGAGCGTCGCAGCTGCATGTAGTTGACGCCCTCCTGCTCGCCGGGCCGGCGCGAGGGGAGCGGCGCGAGGGGATGGATGGATGGATGGATGGATTGACGGACGGACGGATGGATGGATGGATGGATGGACGGATGGATATGGATATGGATATGGATATGGATATGGGGATGGATATGGATATGGATATGGATATGGATATGGATATGGATATGGATATGGATGGAGGATGACGAGGAGGAGGATGACGAGGAGGAGGAGGAGGAGGAGGAGGAGAAGGAGGAGGAGGAGGAGCACACGTTCGAGTTACTCCACACGGCCAAGCCCCCGCCTCGCAGCGGCCACCGGCCAGCCGCAGCCTGGGAGGCCCCGCCGCTCCCCGCGCGATGGGCTGCAGCAGCTCCGCCCCCGCGGAGCCGAGGAGGCCGCAGCCGGCTGGCGGGGCGGACCGCCGGCCGCGGGCTGGCGCTGGGGGCACCGGCGCGCGCAGCGAGGCGGAGCTGCCAGCGGAGGAGGATCGCCCTGTCCAGGCAGCGACCCCAAACCCCCAGGGGGTCTAGGGTCGCTGCCCCTGGTGCGCCCCAGACCCCCAGACCCCCAGACCCCCAGACCCCAGACCCCCCTTGGTAACATCCGTTATGTCCCCAGAAATTGAGAAATGGTCTCCCTCGGGCCATGAACAAAAACACGACGCGAGGTTTTTCGCTGTCTTCGGCCTCGGGGGGGCCTCGCCGAGCCCCGGGGCCGTCAAGAGGCGCCTCATGCAGGATGAAAAACCGGTCCCGGGGAACGGGTCGAGACCTCTGGGGGTCTACATGACGTCGGGGGTCTGGGGAGGAGGATCGCCACGACCAGGGGCAACGACAGGGGGGAGCACCGAGCCCCAGGCGTCCGCCAGTGTTCGAAGAAGGTGTTGCTGCCGTTTCTGGCAACCGCGCTGCCCTTTCTCCCTCCTCCTCCTCCTTACCCTCTTCCTCCTGGGCATCTGCGTGCGAGACCCTGAATGTGTTGTCCTTAGTCGTTTTACCTTGGTCGCGCCGGCTTGGGACAACTGCCCGTGCAAGTCTTGTCAATGATAGCGCTTGCCTGTCCAGGCCGCGTGGCCGATGCTGTCTCGCGGAGGTTGTTGCATGTTTTTGGTACGTGCTGGGGTGTTGTGATTGACAAAATTCAAGACAGACGGCATCCTGGAGAAAGGCCTTTCCTCCAGGACACCGTTCCTTCAGCCCTGAGCCCCCCAGGGGCCCTGGGGGGGGGGGCCCTCAGGGGCCCTGGGGTCTCTCGCCGCTCTCGGCCCGCCGCGGCCCTTTCCTGGTCCGTCGGGGCTGTTCGAACGAGCCGGGATGAAGCACCGGTCGTGGGGAAGGCCCCCAGGGTCGAGCACGCATTTCCCTCCGGGCCCCTGTCTCGCATGCCAGGAGTCAAGGGCGTTAAAAACGCCCCTGCCCTGGTTTACGAGGCGCCGTGCGCTGGACCTCCTGTGGGCTGACAGGGTAAGCCCTGCACATCGCGCGTGTTGCGCGGCGTCCTGGCGGGTCTCTGGCCTCTGGGAGCTCCCAGGAGGTTTACGGACCACGCACTTGTATCCCAGGGTAGGGGCGTTTTTGCACCCCTCAAAGGAGGAGGACCAGGTGCCGCAGCCCCGCTACCCTGGGTTCGACAAGTACCCCGACTGCGTGCGCGTCACCTTCTCCTTCGATGAGCGGGAGCTGCTGACAGGCAGCCAGGAGCTCGGGCTGCGGTACGCCAGCGCATGCCAGGAGCTGGGCGAGGCCCTGGGCATCGACCCCGCCGTCCTGGCGGAGGCGTACGCGGACCCGCGGCTGCGCAGCGCGACCGGGAGGGATGTCGCGGCCGTGGGCGCGCTGCCAGAGGACGAGTGGCCCGTCACGTTCGAGTTCCCGAAGCAGAGAAGGAGGTACAACCTCCTCTTCGGTCTCGGTGGCTCCGGCAAGACGACGCTGCTGCGCGCCCTCGGGAGGCGCTCGGGGCAGCCTCTGGAGGCCACGGCGGGCCAGGGCTGCCGCGTGGAGTCGCTGGCGCTCGACGACTTCACCTGCTTCACGTCGTGGGACATCACTGGGCTCAAGGATCGGGTCGGCCGAAGGGGGGATTGGAAAAGGGGGGTTGCGATCTGTGCTGCGTGCAGCTGATTCCAGCCTCGCCGTTAGGTGTTCTCCTTGACACGTTGACGCCTCCGGCGCCAGCAGGCGCCAGGAGAATCAGCTGCGTGAGCCAATTCGCTAACCCCCCCTTTGCTATAGCCCTTTTTTGTCCGATCCGAAAGGAGGCGTCCCGCAAGCTGCTGGAGGGGTACTGCCGGGACGTTCTCAGCGTGTGTTTCGTCGTCGACGCGAGCGACCCCAGCCGCATCGACGAGGCACGGCAGGCGCTCGCCGACCTGCTCGGCGAGTCCTCGGCACTCTCTGGCGCGACGCTGCTCGTCTATGCCAACAAGCGGGACGTGGAGGGCGCGCTGCCAGCCACCGAGGTCGCGGAAAGGCTGATGCTGTCGAGCTTGCGCATAGCGAGGTGCTTCGTGCAGTCGTCCTGCGCCGTCACTGGGGACGGCGTCTTCCAGGGCATCGCCTGGCTCTCCCAGGTGAGCGTCTTTTTGTTCCTCCCCAGGGTGACGCCCGTCACCCGGGCCAACCCCCCCCCCACCGCCTCCCCATCCCCCGGGTAACGCTGACAATCGTACTGGGGGGGGCCTGTACCCCCCCACCATGCCGTGGTGCACGCAGGCGATGGATGCGCCGGTGGCGCCGGGCGCACCCTGGCGGGTGCGCGCCGCGGCCGCCGCTACTGTGGGTGATTACCCTCCCGCCCGCACCCCCCCCCCTCCCCCCCCGGGGTCTTGGACCCGCCTCTTCGGAGGCAGGCCACCGTCCTAGTCCCAGCCCCCCCTGGGGTAGCGAGCGTGACACGGAGAAGAAGGCACGCTCGCCAGGCCATCGGCGGCGCCAGGCCCTCGGCCGACGGCGCGGAGGAGCCCACGCCCACCGGCGGCGCGGGGCCCTCGGCCGGCGACGCGGAGGAGTCCACGTCCATCTGACGCGGGCCCCGCCTCGCCCACGGGGCCCACGCCCCAGGGCGCCAGCGCGCTGCCCGCGGGGAGCCGCTGGGGCCTCGGCGGACTCCTCTGCCTCCGCCCTCGGGAGCGGCAGAATGACGTAGACGTCGATGAATCCACGTCGGCGTCGAGGGTGCGCCTTGCGCGAACGTTGGCACCACGCGGCCCGTCTCTCGCGGATCGAGGGGCCGTGCTCGTGCACCTGGTCGGGCGCGTGCGTCCTTTGTGGGCTCCCTCTTCCCTGCCTCCCTCTCCTCCTCGCCCCCCGCTGCCTTTCCCTGCAGGCCTCCCGGAGGTCATGGGGGGTCTCCGGAGGCATACATGAGCTCGGGCGACGAGATGGGACTCTGTTCGTGTCCACTGCGCCCTGGCCGGGCCCTCCCTGGGCCCAGGAGCCCTGGCCAAGCCAGGAGTCCGGGACCCACGCATGTACATCACCACAGCGGCAGTGGCACCCCTGTCAGGGCAGTCGCGCGCAGGATTTTTGTCCTTTCCAATGGCCGCCTGGTGGTGGTGAAGAAGATCGAGGCCCCGCAAGGAGAGCGTGGTGCACTCACCGCTGCTGGGTTCAGGGCGGGCCGAACCAGGGAGCAGTGGACACGTATCGGTTTCGAGGCCCTGCGACAGCAGCGGTCCAGAGCGTCGGGAAGCTTGGGCCCCCGGGCCTCGAGCCGGATCGGCCGTCCTCCTGCTCGCTGCGTTTGCTCGCTTGCCCCCTCTGCCCCCATGGCAGCCGTCGCTCGGCCCTTCGGCTCTCGCCCGTCCTCGCTGGCCTCACTCCTCTTCCCTCCCCTCCCCTCCCTCGTGCCTCGCTCCTCCGGCGCGCTTCCCCTCCCCTCCTGCCTCGCTCCTCCTGCTCTCCTCGTTTCCTCTCCTCCCCTCCCTCGTGCCCTTCCCCTCCCTCTCTGCTCCCCTCCCCTCCCCTCCCCTCCTGCCTCCCTCCTCCCGCTCGCCCGCCCTCCGCCCTCGCGCTGTTCTTGGGCCCCTTCGCTCTCCCGCCCTCTGCTGGCGCCTCCTTGCCCGTTCCTCCCTCCAGCCCGCTCGCCGCTCGACCATCGTCAAATATTCGTGCTGCCATCACCACCAAGCGTCACCATCACTACCATCAGCGTCATTACAATTACCACCATCAATCTCCGTGCTCAGCATCAACACGATCACGATCATGTTCATGCTCATCATCAGCAGCATCATCATCAGCAGCAGCATCACCATCAGCATCGTCATCATCATCACCATCATCGTCCACACCTCTCTTCACAACTAGCATAACTGTTTATGATCACCATCATCATTACAAGCATCACCATCATCACTCTTCACCATCATCACCAACATCATCACCATAATCATCACCATCAGCATCGTCACCACCAACACCATCATATTCACCGTCATCATCATTAACATTATCACCATCATCACCAGCATCACCATGATCACCAGCATCAGGATCATCATCAGCATCATCATCATATTCAGCAACATCACCAGCATCAGCATCATCATCATTATCACCCCCCCTCATCATCATCAACAACATCAGCATCGTCACCATCATCATCACCACCATCACCATCACAACCAACATGATCAGCATCATCCTCACCATCCACCATCATCATCATCATCATCATTCTAATCATCGCCATCCTCATCATCCTCATCCTCATTCTCTTCCTCCTCCTCGTCCTCCTCCTCCTCCTCCTCCTCCTCCTCCTCCTCCTCATTGTCGTCATCGTCATCACCATCACCATCATCACCATCAGCATCACCACCACCATCATCACCAACATCACCATCACCATCAGCATCACCAGCAAGATCATCAACATCACGATCACCATCATCAGCAGCATCACCATCATCATCATGATCATCATCATCATCATCATCATCATCATCATCATCATCATCATCATCATCAGTACTCTTCTGCATCATCACCACCATCACAACCAACATTACCGGCATCATCCTAACCATCCACCATGATCATTATTAGTATCGCCATGCCTACCCCCCTCATCCTCATTATCTTCCTCCTCCTCCTCCTCCTCCTCCTCCTCCTCCTCCTCCTCCTCCTCCTCCTCCTCATTGTCGTTATTCCATCACCATCATCATTAGCATTAGCATCATCACCATCACCAGCAATCCCATCATCATCATCATCATCATCATCATCATCATCATCATCATCATCATCATCATCATCATCATCATCATCATCATCATCATCATCCTCATCCTCATCCTCATCCTCATCCTCATCCTCATCCTCAGCATCATCAGCAGCAGCAGCATCAGCATCAGCATCCTCATCATCACTGCTCTTCTGCACCAGCATCCTCATCACCGTCGTCACCATCACCGTCAGCACTCTTCACCGTCACTGCTCATCGCCTCCCTCACCACCGCCACGACCACCGCCTCCCTCGCCGCCTCCGCTCCCCCCTTCCCTCCCGGGGCGCCCGCGTGGGGCCTTCGCTCGGCCGCGCCGCACCCTCGGCGAGCCCGCGCGGGGGCGACGGAGCCCGCGCGCCGGCGCAGACGCGGCGGCGCGATCGCCGCCCAGGGGCCCAGCCGGGGCAGCGACGGGGGGAGACAGGCTCGGGAGGTTCGAGCTTCGAGGTTCCCAGGACCCCCCTCGGGTCATGAGGAGATCGCGACGGGAGGTCCTGCGCTATTCTCGGGCCCTGGGCCCTTCCTGGGCCTCGGGAGCGCTCCAAGCCGACTCGGGATGAGAAACCCGTCCCGGGGAGTGGGTCGAGACCTCTGGGGGTCGACGTTGTGAACAAATGATGACGTCGGGGGTCTAAGATAGGCTCAGGAGGTTCGAGTTTCGAGGTTCGAAGTTATCGGGCTTTAGAAATATGACCCGAGAAGAAGCATTAGGGGGCGGGCGCATCGACCTCCATCGCACGGATAGGGGCCTGATAGCCCACCCCGCCCAGGAGCATGCGGATTCGCTATCGGGGGCCTCTCGCCGATCTATCGGCGACGCACCGCCGATGACAGCTCGATGTCCCCTCCCTCCCCGAGCCAATCCCCCCGTAACGTTGCCCCTCGGCCCAGAGCTCCGGCGTCCTGGCTCGCGCGGCCAGTTGCGAGCCCCGCTCGCCAGGAAGCAGGCCCAGACCTCCGCAGCCCTCCGCTGGTTGCAGTCCCGGCGCTGCTCCTCGCTTTCGGCCCCCCGGACGGGGCCCCCAAACGGGGTGGTGACAACACCGTGTGGTGAGTCGGTGGGGATTCGGGGTCACCGCACGGTTTCGGGACTCGGGTCGTTCTCCGAGGACGTTGACGGACCGTGCGGTGAGGTCTCGGGGGATTTCGAGGTCACTGCACGGTCTGTCACCGCGGGAAGCAGGTCCTCGAGTCTTCGTCGCCGTCGGCGGGCTCCCCGAGCCTGTCAGGAAAAGGTTGCGGGGTGAAAGACTTGGTCCTGGGAAAGGGCTCCCAGAGGAGGAAAGGGTACCCACACCGCTGCCATTGCCTATAGTTTTCGCCCTCTTTGGGCCTCCTGGGAGGCCCTCGCCGCCACCGCTGGAGTCGCTTCGAAGTTCTGGTCAGAACGCACCCTGGGAGAGATCTGGGGAGCAGCGGTATCGGTACTTTTTGGTTTCCCCAGGCTCTGGGATCAAGGACCCGTTTCCTTGAGGACTGTTTTCTTGCGTGCCAGACTACCCTTGCGGCGGGTCCACTCGACGCTGGGCATCGGCGTTCTCTCGACGCGCTGGCACGGTGCGACCCCGGCGCTGGCGTTCAAGGTCGGCGGCCGCAAGTGGCCCGTGATCGGCGGACGTCGAAGGATTTGCGCTATCGTTAAGTCGGGCCTGTCCCCCTACAGGGGGATTTTCGACGAAAAACAAAAATACCCCAAAAATAATTTTAAAAAATAGTCCCAAAATAGTGTGGGGACTAGTTGTTGAGTATTTTCTGACCTTTGGGGGCATTTTGGGGGTATTCTTTTTCGTCGAAAATCCCCCTGTAGGGGGACAGGCCCGACCTAAGGCTACCGCAGAAGCAGTGATCGTTTGAGGTTGAACGATCGACGTGGTGCCGGGGACCAACGCCCACGTCATCGCGACTTGAACCCGCTGCACCCTCGTCGATGTTGTGCTTGGCTGCAGGCATCCTTCGATTTCTAGCCCCTCGCCGGATCAGGGGTAAGGCTCAGAAGTATCCCCTGGCAGGGGCAAGGATTCACATGCGGTTGCCCCTGGAGAAGAATTCAAGGCGGAGCTTTTCCGCCTTTTTAGGTTTCCTGGGCGCCGTCTCTGGGTTTTGGGCCATCCAGACTCGGTCCTGGATGATTGACTTGTCCTTGGGCACACGTCGAGAGGTGGGCTGATTTTTGCTTAGATTGACCAAGAACGGCATCGGAGGTCTGGGCGATGGGCACGTGCACGGAATGGCCAACGACAATGATGCGCGCAGGATCGGAACGATCAAAATAGCAGGTATTGGGGGTGCGGGCTCCTCTGGACGTTCCGCCTCTCTCCCTCCCTCCCTCCTTTCAGCGTTGAGCGGATGTTCGCTGTACAGCTGTTGCGTTCATTCCTCAATTGGTTTCTCCTTCTCCTCCTTCTGCTTCTCCTCCTCCTCCGCTAGTCAACGTTGGAGCTCAGATTAGGGAACCCGATGCGAAGGCAATTGTCAGACAACGTGCTCTCACACGAGTTCTGGCCAGCCAGCCCCTTGCCTTGGCCAAGGGGAGGAGCAAGAGGTGGGGGGCGGAAGAGCGTTTCGATACTGAACCGTACTTTCTAAGCAGCCATCGCCGCATTCATGAATTGTGCCGCATCGAAAGATGAGTTCTCTTCACACTCGAATGCGACATTTTCGACGACTGCGACGAGCAGAAGAAAGAGAAGAGACATACTGTCTTGCATCCACGCCAGGAACTGCTTAGTTGCAAAGCTCGACATTCGGGGCTCAAGAGACGGGGGTCAATGCAAACGGGGGTCAGCCGGGGCACCAGA